GAGGGCGAAAGGGATAATTTGGGTGGTGACCATGATGTAATCTATGCAGAAATAGAAGTATAATGATGTACACCTGAAATTTATACAATGTTATGAACCAATGTTACTGCAATAAACAAAAAATTTAAAAAAAAAAGAGAACCAGATGATGTACTGCTGGCGAGAAGACTAAAGCAGAGTATTCTAAGGGAATCAGAAATAGTCATTAGTATAACTTGTGGTAGAACCATTTCAAGGTAGGTCAGTGGCTTTCCAGATTAATGTCTAGTGCAAGAATTCTGCACGTATGTGTTAAAATAACTTTCACATTACTAAAATGACGTAGCCTTAAGTTTCCAAATAAAAACCACAGAGGAGGCATGAGTGGACTTTTCTGGGCTTCTTGCTGGATATGATATGTTCATTAAGCTCAGAGGGTAGAGAAAAGTTGAACCAAGATGGGACAGGTCAGCATCCTACAGATTAAGACTGAAATTCAAAACGTTAAATTGGAGGAGAGAGAAACAAACAAGTATGAATGGTCCTAGTGAGAACCGTGCATTTCCAGGAAGTCCTGTGCACACTGTGTAAAAGGATTTGGAGGGACATAAGCCAAGGCTGAGAAAGAATGACTTAACAGTCATTTAACAAGAAATTATGGAAATTACACACGACCTATGAATATACGACAATGTTAAATCTTTCTGGTAATCAAAAGACAATTAGAGCAAAAATGAAATATCATGTTCTGCTTATCAAATTTGCAAAGTTTAAAAAATGAAAATAGCGTCTGAGAGCATTCGGGGAAATGGGAATATCTAATATCTAATATTACGCTGGTGGGGGAGTAAACTGGTCCAAACTTTATAGAAAGTAATTTGTCAAAGTATAAAAACCCATTAACATTCAACGACTACATACTCATTTTTAAGAATCAGACATGTGTAAAATGTAAAACCAAGGATGTTCAGCACCATTTTACTGATAATTAATATGAAAAGCAACCTAAACAAGAAACCAGTGCTGAGCCAGGTTATATAAATTATGAAACAAAGGAATTTTTTGTGGCCATTAATGACTACATTTTAGACAGATATTTAGCAGTGTAGAAAAAATGTGTTGTATATAGTGTGAGAAAAACAGGTGGCGAAAATATTTATAGCATAATGCCAATTTTCTTAATGTGTGTGTTTGTGTGTATATACTATAAACAAAAGATTGGATGAAAGGTACATGGAAACATTTATTGTTATCTCACCATAGTAGATTTACAGGCAATTTAAATTTTCTTTGCATTTTCTGCTACTTGAAAAATTCCTCGGAATTAATATGCACTATGCTTATAATCACAAGCATGTTTTTACACTAATTTCTGTAATGAATACCAAAGCCATTGTATGTAGACCTGTTTTTCACATCTGTAGCTGTGGAGTGAATCAGCTGGTCTTTGGTTTCTTCTGTTTCTAAAGTTCTACAAAATATTTTATGAAAAACAGAAACTGATGCAGAGACATACATACACCAGACACAAGAAGACGTTAAAAAACAACGTCATAATCAGAAAGAAAGTTTCAGAGAGAGGGTGTCGAGGTGTTTTTTACTGAAAATCCCCTGTGGCCTCACTCTCATTAGCACTTGGCCTGGGTGTGGACATCTTAGCATCACTGTCTTTTCAAGGGGAGAAATCGTCATATAAATAAATTAAACTTGCCTTACAGCTTTTCCAAGGCTTTACCAAACCTTCACCAAATCTGATAAAAATGGTATAGCCACTGTGCTCCCACAGAGAAAAATTATTCTCAAGCTTGTAGCTCGCATTCCCATGTTGCCACGGCTAGATTAAGCCAAGGATCTAGGTTCTATAACCCATGCAATCAAAACGAATAAAAGAATAGAAAATTGATCTTATGAGAACAGGGTCCCATGTATTGTACCTTGGAAGAAAGAGGAGTGAAACCACCTGTTACTTAGGATAATGATCAGTTTTTCCCTAAATTCACTCAGGAGAAGAAAAAGGGGTGACAGAGATGAATGATTTAAATTCCGTAAGGATGACTCCTAATAATGAGGGTTGTTAAATAAGGGAACATAATTTTGAAAAGGACTTAAATGTTTATCTAAATTCTGATTGCACAAATAACATACAGATCTCTAGGAATCATTTTACTTCTCAGAAAAAGATAATACTTGTTTAACTTGTACCACGCTAATCTCGTGTTAGCCTAATCTCTGACGTGAATAAGTACGGTTTTTTTTTCTTTTAACTGAGAATACAATGATACAGAAGCTCATATAACAAGACACTTACATTTTATAAATGTGGGAACAGATTTTTAAGGAGATTTAACTTTTAGCATCCACAAAAAAATTTTTAAGTAGAACACATCAATGCCAATTTTCTTGCTGAAATGTAGTCTCCTCTAACAGCAAGAACGAGTGGTTAGAAATTCAGAACTTCCACTGCTTTTTGGCTAATTTTCTCAGGATGGGACAGTGAGGTCAACAGGAAATGCGAGAGTCATTCCAGCACGCAGTTTGCCTGAGAGAAGCTTTTCCCTGAACCCGAAGCTTGAATAATTATTTTAGATGAATGCTGAGTTCTGAACTTTAAACATAATCTGTCTCCAAAATTCATATGAATTTTGCAACTTATTCAGTGAAATTTATATTCAGGAAGGATATTTTTCCTCCTAAACATAACGATTATCTTATTACAATATAACAAGGGATGGAAAATTGCACTTTGGGACTCTGAAGTCTAAGTACAATTTTTCTATGTCAAAGTTCTGAAACAATACTTGAATGTTAACACAGCTTTGAAAAAATTTTTTCTTTTGTACTTTGGTGGGTCTTTTTCTCTAAACAATAATATGTCAGAACAATGTGGACCAGGATACTTTCCGAGGAAGCTGCAAATAAAATTCTGGGATGAAAAGAACCCACAAATAAACTAGTATTTCATTTTACTTGTGCAATAATTGAGTCAAGTCAAGCTTGATTTAACACCTCTGAAAGAAAGAATGAGAGAACACTCCTTCTCAAACAGGAGTCAACTTTGGCTCTCCCAAGACCTAGCCTCTCATTTAAGAGTTCTGACAGGCTGTCTTTACCTTGCCTATACATACTAATATATCCTTGTCTTGTTCACAGCATAATTTCATTTCTGGAAAATCTGCCTTGATTTAACTGTTCCCTTGAATACTACCTCCCACAACCTCTCCGCTAACAAAGAGAAACCACTGTGGAGGATTCACGTTCTTCACCAAACAGAACTACCACACTGAATGTCATTCTAAACCATAGTTGTAAGATAACCTCTATAATGTTCCCAGCCAATCCTTTGCTCTGAAAAGTCTAAATAATTTCCACTCCATTTACTTTCTATATATGAGAGATGACATAATTAAACAGAATTAGCTCAAGTCAAGACCAAAAAGCATATGCATGTGATAAATTGTCTACCAGTATAATGAAATAAAAGAACTTTGAATAAAAGGGAAAGAAATGATCTCATGTTGAGGTGTATTTTACTGTCACTTTTTGTACGTCTAGGACATAAACACCTTCAGTACTAACACACCCAATCATCCCTGAGGACTATTCTGGAAGTAGAGGAGGTTTAAAACACAGAAGCTTTCAAACAATGGCAATATTTACATGATCAGAACTACCACTAATATCAGTTACATTTTGAATTTCTAATATGATGAAGAGCTGCCCAAAGGAACACATATGTTTTTATTCTACAGATGTAAACTAGACTAGACAGGCAAGAATGATTTAAGCGAAGAAAATACACATCTTCTCTGGGAGGTATAGTTCCACCAAATATTTTTTACCTTAATTTATACTTTTTCTTTCATCTTCTTTTAGACTCTTAGTTTTATACAAACATGTTGAACATAAAATGGCACAAAGCTTCTCTTCAGCCAAATAAGCTGTCACTTTTTAATGTTCTTCTTCTATAATAAAAGAAATATATCTGGACAACCAAGTTAACTATCCCCAAGAATATAAAATTACACACTCTTGGCTTGGCAATTTAATTTCACTTTACCTAAAATATTAATTAAAGATTATCAGAGAGATTGCCAATGCCAATAAGAGTTATAAACCAAACAATATAATTATCAAGCAGCAATTAGCTAAGTGATTCTATTGCTCAAAGAATTACATCTGCCTGAGTTCAATCTCCTTTGAGTTTACCCCACAGCAGGCTCAGATTTTGCGATTACCCTTCTTCTACATACTGGGAATTTGTTGGATCCTGTGGACAACGACAAATGCATCAGACAGCCCCACTTTCACTGGGTGATTGGTCGAACTTATCTGTGTGACCAAGACTGGAATCTGGAAGAGAAAAAGCAGATTGCTACGTGTTAGGTTTGAATTTCATTCAGGGGGGGTGGCGAGGAGTGTGATAATCTTGTTGAATGGGTAAAATCAGGGGATGGAGATGAAGGATCAGAGAGAGAGAGCAGGAAATATTAGAGAAGACATGCAATACCTAATCGTAACATCTGTTTAGTGCTATTTGATGGGTTACAGCGACAAGAGAGTTCCTGGTCCTACAGACAGCCACTGGATGATGAAAGCAATAGATTCTCAGAGAATCTAACTGATGCTGGATGCTGAAAACTTATCACACACACTTAAGGCACACCATGAATGCATTTAGTGCTGGATACCATTTCAGGAATAGAGATTCTTCTTGCATTATTTGTTTTCTGAAACGACTTTATTTTATATTTATTTTCATAGTTTTTAAAAATCCTTGTTTACAAGTCATCTTATAAAACCTAAAGAAAGACAAGTGCACTGCTAAATATACATTTATCAAGGGAATTGTTGATTAATACATAGTTAATTTGGTAATTGGTAATGGATGTCGAACTTCACCATTCTGGTTGAAACCCACATGGAAAACTTATAAATTACTATGGGTCATCTCAAGGTCACATTTCCTAAATTTGAACCTCAATGGAACCAAAATCTGAATATGGCAGACATTTCTAATATTTATAGTTTAAAAAAATTAGGATACATTGAGAATATATGAAACATGATACAATAGTTACAAATGAGACAAACTCTTGGAGTCAATTTTTCTAGATTTAGAAAAGAGTCATTGGAGATAGGATTACTATCTTTAATCTCAGTTTTATAGAAATAAAAATGGGAATCAAACCATCCTCAATAAATAAAGGGACAAGAAACAAAAAGGGAATGATAAATGCACCAACAAATCTTTAGGTAGAATAAGCAGACTGTGGACCATGTGTGGATAATTCATTAAAGAACATATTAGATCAGACATTTGTTATATAAACCATAATGAACAAGAGATCAATAAGAATAAAGGAGAATAACCTGGAGAGAAGATAAAATAAGGGCTGTACTGCTTATTTTTGCCCATGACATCATGAAATTATAAAAGGGCTTTTTGTTGAAATTGGCCAATTAAGAGGAAATTTTAATGTTTCTAAAATTTGTGGAATTATCTCAAAACAAGTAAATGGAAGATGGTATTTGTCTTCTATGTACCAAATCAGTTCTCTCTTAAACAATGTTAAGGTATTGCCAATTTGATATCAGTATGTCCAGTTTGTAACCAGCATTAAGCAGTATTCTGATATTTGGACAACAGAAACAAACAAAACTAAACCAAGATTTCTGTCCCTAAAAGTTCATTTACTAAATGAAACTCTGACATACTTTATTTAGTGATTACTAAGCCATATTCAGTATCAACATATGTAATCCCTTTTCTTAGTGGGCATTATACCACTATCCAGTTTTATACTCCATGTTGAGGAGTGCTAATATCAATGTAATTTATTTTTAAGACAGACTTACAGTTAAAGAAGAAAAGACAAAAGGACAGAAAAAGCATAGATAAAATTTCCAATTCAAGTTATATTTTGTATATCCTAACAAGAAAAGTCATAATTTTTAAAGAACACTATTAATAGACACCATCTTGTGAGTAAGTACGAAAGCTTTGCTCCTTGCATTTGTCACTTGCTTTCATTTTCCAACATCTATGATTGCAGTTGTCCTCTACAAGGTGTGAAATATTTTACCAGATAATTCTGTGGTAATTGATTGTATTTCTTCTTTTCCCACACTAAAGCAGAACTTGAGTTTATATTGCCATCAAGTAGAAAATCCTACTATATTGTTATAAATAAGAGCTTGTTTTCCAGCTCACAGGTCTTGGTTCTTGCAGACCTCCTAGAATAGTAGCTTTCCCTTCTCTCCAGATTATCCATTCCACCTCTTCTATCTTTCTTCCTTATTTCTTCTCTTACCTAGCCATCTTTCATTTTGATTTTGTTTTCTCCATCTCTTTCCTTCCTTTTCCTTCCCTTGTATTTTTTCTCTAAGTGGAAGCCTCTCCTCCTGTGCTTTTCATCTGTGGCAGATTGATTGCACTAAGGGCCTCAATCAATGGCCTGCTTGTATCCATACACTTTGCCTTTTCACTCTGCGGTCCTCTCCCACTCTGACTCTGGCTCAGTAATAAGGCAAAAGAAGACACTAGCAAACTTGAAGCAAAAGAGAGGCTTGAGAAAGTGCTTGTAATTTCCACCTTCTTTCTTGGACCCCTGTCACTGCCATAAGAATGAACCTGCTGGTCTGCTGAGGATACATGAAAGACATGTGGAGGAATGTTTTCTTCCCAGCAGAGGTCATCCTTGACCAGCTAGTCCCTAGCCAATCCACCAGCTAACAGCTGATACTGAGTGAGCCCAGTAGAGATCAGCAGAGTCCAACCCAGATTAGTAGAACCATCAAGCTGATCCATAGATATCCTATGAGAAATAAGAAATGGAGTTGTTCTAAGCAACTATATTTTGGGGTGATTTGTTACACAGCAATACTAACTAATACATTCTCTATTAAAGATCTAATAGCCAACACAAACTTCTCTGGGTGTTCCTACATAAAATGAAGTAGTATTCTTCCACCTAGATTTCTGGAATCAGATAAATCTCTCTTCACTTCTAGGTACAATTAAACTTGAAAGATTGGAATGTTTCAGTACAAAAATTTCATTTTCTGCATCTTGTTTTCATTTTTCTATATCTCTTTATTTTCTAGTTTATTCTTTTTCCTCTGGATTCCAAAAACGAAGAGCAACGTGTGTAAGTTACCTAGATCCAGATTCATTTAATCTAAGGAAAATCCATCCACAATCAAAATGGGTAGCCTAACAATGTAGAGAGTTTTCTGTCACTGAAAATAATCTCATCATAAATTGGTCGACCCTCTAGGAAGAATAGTTGTAGATGACCTGTAAGTACCCTTTCAAGCCTCAAATTCAATGATTTCATTATATTGAATAACCTTGACTTTTCCAAGCTTTAACAAGCAAATTGTTAACAACAATTCAAACAAAAATTATAAGGATGAAATGCTTTACCTATGTAAAGACAGAGCAGAGGTAAGCAGAAATCATCATTTGCTTCTAAGGGTAGCATATATTTTTTTTAATATATGCTGCCATTTTTTTAGATTTACTTATTCATGGGATAGTGACTTTGAGGACTGTGTGTGACAAACCACTACTACCATAAATATCTCTATGATGAGTTCTTAATATACTGTGGGATTATAAAGCAGAAAATAAATTTCTGAGAATAATGTCTACTACATGTAAGTTATTTTCCCAAAAGGTATATACACTCTCCATGCTATTTGATAAGATAGGAATAATTCATTCACTCATTTATCAGATACTAACTGAACATTTTCTCTGTATTATTGTAGACACTGGAACTACAGAAGAGAACAAAACACCTTGCTCTCAGAGAGCTTGCATTCCAGAGGCCGGAGAGTGACATTCTAACAAGTAAACATAAAAAATACAGTATGTTAGGAGGTGGTAAGTGCTATGAAGGAAATTAAAACATGGTAAAGAGCTAGAAAGGGATGGGGACCTCTTTAAGAGAAGGAGTCACAGAAGGTTTCTATGACAAGGTGACTTTTCCATAGGAAGAGAGCCTGCCATGTGGATATTTGGGGAACAGCTCTGAGTAGAGGGACTAGTATATGCAAAGGCCTTGACTGAATTGTTTCTGGTGTCTTTTAGGAATTAAAAGGTTATCACTGGAGCAGGAGTAAATAAGAGTGTCGAAATGGGAAGTGGTAGGGACAGATCATAGGAGCATGAATTCCCTGCAAGCCATGGCAATGACTTTGGATTTTATTCCAAGCCATATGGAAAGGTTTAGAGGGTTTGGAACAGAGAGAGGACATTCCCTGACATGTGAAAAAGATCACACAGGCTGCTGTGTGATCAAGACTGTAGGGTACAAAGGGGAGACAAGACAAACTACTTAGAAGAATAGCAGAGTCATCCAGACAGGAGATGGGTGGCTTGGACTACACTACAGTGGTAAGTGTAGGAGGCAGAAGTGACAGGAAGATGGATTCTGGATGAATTGTGAAGGTACTGCTATCAAGACACACCATGGATTTCAGGAGAGCAAGAGAAAGAGGAGAGGCATTGATGCTACCAAGGATTTTGGTCTTAGTAGCAGGAAAAATGGAGTCGAATTTTTCATCAGGGCTGCCATATTGTACACCTTCAGTTCCTTCCCCTTGCAGACTATAAGAATGCTGTCCTCTGGGTGAGTAGAGAACCTGTGCAGCCCTAAAGAGGGCTTCTGAAATTTCCAGAGATGGAGAAAACTAGGAGAGGAAGAGTTGGAAAAGGATGATAAGTTTATGGCAATATCACTGGCCTCAAATTCTTTTCTTTAAAATTTCATAGAGTTCATGAATAACCACATAGGTTTTCTAAAACTGTGGCATTTTATCCTGATTAAATATTAAAATGAAAATGTACAAGAAGTTTTTGATTCCCTACATTTTCTTAGAAGCCACCCAGCCTTTTATGAAGTGATTACATATCAGGTTTTGAAAAAAACACTTTCACTAATTGAATTAACTGCTTAATATTGCAAAAGATTAATGAGGAAAAGACAAACAATTCCAGGCTTTCTCATAGATGTCTTTCAGATACATGTCTGCCTTTTTCCACCTGATATTGGTCATATCTTTTTTACTCTGCCTTCTTGGACTGTAATCTTTTTACTTCAAAACCTCAAAGATGTGGGGTTGTTCTGTGAAATGATCCTTCACCCACTCACCGCAGCCAAGTAATGGGGCTGTGTAAGCTCTCTGTGTGCAAGTCAGACCGGTCTGCAGGTTTCCATGTCAATATAAAATTAGAGACCATTAAGACGAATCAGGAGTACTGTTAAAAGCCACATTTAAAATGAACTATTTCTCATTAATATCAACACAGCAACTGCATGAGTGTGTGTATAAATAAACTATCT